TCCCTTATCTACATTGAATTTCCTAAGGATTTACTAAAGACCATCGTGCCATACACGGTGAAATGCTTTCTTGAAATCGACAAAGTTGTAAACACGTCCTTCTGATGTTGCAGGTGTTTCTCTACGAGGATCCTACAACTGAAGACCTGTTTCCATTGTACTTCGTCTGGCTATAAAACCTGTTCGTTCCTCTGATAGCAGTTCTCCAGCCTTGAATTTCAATCGCTTCAAAATGATACAAAGTCACAATGATGCAGAGCTGGAGCATATGGAATGGAGGTCAACTCCGAGAAATTCAAAGTAATGGTGAATAGCACAATGTGTAACACTTGTGTCAATATTACCATGAACGGGAATTCACTGTACAGTTTTAAATACTTAGGAGCAATCTTGACTAAAAATGGTACCTGCAGCTCGGAAATCTGCACACGGATTTCCGCAGTCATAGCAGCGATGACCAAATTGACAAGAATATGGAGAAGCAAAATCAGCTTTTCAAACGAAGTAGACTGCGCAAATCGCTGATAGTCGCCATTATCCTATATGAATGTGAAATGTGGACACTTTTGGCAGATACAGAGAGAAGGGTCCAAACATTTGAGAACAAATGGACGAGAAAACTCCTTGGCATTCTCTATTGAGAACATAACACTAACGAGATTGTGTGGAAAGTTTTGAAAGGTTTGTGGGCCGCCAGGAACCTCTTCTCGCCATTTTTCAAATGGATAAAAATAGCGTAGTTTGGATATGTTACAAAGCACGACAATCTGTGCAAGACCATCACGCAAGGCACCGTTGAAGTGGACGTAGGAGAGGACGCCAACGCAAAAAACTGGTTGGACAATGTCGAACAACAGACAAGTATGACTGTACAAGAATTGCCGATGACTGCCATTGATAGACTGTTGTGAAGGAGATTTAATATGGCTTCTGGATTCGGATCCCTCCCTCACTACAATTACAAAAGTTAAGGGGATGATGATGATGAACTCGCCGTTCAAAAAACTCTTTGTGACGTAAGTTTTAAAACGCTTTTGTATAACACATAAAATCCTTTTGAACTTCTATTGTTCTTTCTGACTATAAATATTGCATTTCTTGCAGTAGTTTCTTTGACGAGATCCCACCATTCTTGTCTTATTTCCGGTCCAAGTCTGCTAAGCGCTTTATTCATTAGAATTCGAATGATAAAATTTGACACATTAAGCTGCTTTTTGGAATACTTTTTACCTTCTTTCAGTATGGCTGATGCTAACCTCCCGGAGAAGGATTCATTGCGCCTACTCGGACTAACATTTTCCGCTGGCATGAAGTGGAAAGTTTACAATCTTATATTGAATCAATTGAAAGGTCCTCCACAAAGAATGTGGGTTTCATGCGTCGCGCTAGACAATTTTTCTGGCCAGAATCTATCTTACATATTTATAAGTTTACCATTCTTTTTTCTTTGAATATTACTGCCACATTTAGTCTGATACACCTGATATATATTTTGAAATTCTTAATAAGATACAAAGAAGAATCTAGAATGTTATTTGTCTTAATCTATCATATCGCTTTCACTAACATTCCCACAGCCATACTGTGGCTTCCCTGGGCCTTTTCTATAATTATTTTCATGGTAATTGTTCTCATGTGTTTTAATCCGTGTCATCTAGATATTATGAATTTAAGCATAGCACTAGATTAGCGGAAAGATCTAATCATATTACAGTTGAAATGGCTAGATGTAACCGTAAGTTCTATGCTAATAGTTTCTTCTATCGCACTTGTTGCATGTGGAACTCTCTTCCGGCTTCTTGCTTCCTAGTTCGATCTTCAAAAATCTAAATGCAATGTCAATCGTTATTTTTGTCTTCTTGATTCTTGTTCTTTTGATTTTATTTTGCTTTAATATTGTTTTTTGCGCATATTCTTTAACACTCAGTAAACCCTTGCATCTTAGGGGCTTTATTGCCCTGCTTGTGGTGAAATGATTACAAAAAAGAAGCAAAGATGCAGTAGAAAATCATTTTTTGTCTGTGAAACTAAAATATGTAGAGAAAAAGATGAATGGCCAACAAAGTCACTAAAGATCTAGAATGCATCAACTGCTAAGTAAAAACCCCTGAAAAGCGGACACTTACCAAGTAAATGTCTGCAGTCTCAAATATAATTAATATATAAGTTGAATTCCACATGCCATGATACTTCCAAAGAGTCAAATCATCCTCATTTTCCCAAAATTACAAAATTTAAAAAGAAAGCTTCACTCAGATATCTTTTTTCAAAAACTTAATTGTGGAACAGACGCCATCATGGATGCTTCCTAAAACAAATCAAGAGTCAATAATAATATATCGTCATTATCCGCATAATCAATTTCTACGACTTCATCTTTCCTTCATATGGCACACATCTGTTTACAATTATATCATATCGTTATTTCAATAAATATTTCTTATTGATTTTTCTACAAATGATTCACCTACACAAACCTCATATTGTTCATTGCAGGTGAATCACATACCTCTCTTTGTAAAAATATTTTATATTATTCTGTCTACAAAAATCTCAGAAAGTTCTGTCCACAGTCATCTCAAATTGTTCTTTCTATAAATATTTCGTATTGTTCTTTCTACGTATGTTTCATTTACAGAAACCGCACAACGTTCTGCCCACGGTCATCTCATATCGATACGAGCCTAAAGTACTCAGAAATTGCACGATTTATATTTTAATATGGGTTGAAAACTAAGTAAATGGTTCGAAATATCGAAAAAAAATTAAATTAATAAAACCTCTGAACAAAGAACATTCGTTCGTCTTTAACCAAACATTCTATCTATCTATCTATCTATCTATCTATCTATCTATCTAAGTCTGTTCTATCTATCTATCTATCTATCTATCTATCTAGAGCCAATTTCGATCTCACAAGAAACAAAATATTGTTGAAAATAACGACGGCCATACTCATTCATCTATCTATCTATCTATCTATCTATCTATCTATCTATCTATCTATCTATCTATCTATCGTTTAATTTGTTTTTTCTCTTCATCTATCTGTTTATCCATCTATATATCTATCGTTTTCTTTCTTGTGTTCTGTTCATTATCTATCTATTTCAACCGTTATCTATGTGTGTTTTTGTATGTGGGTGCGCGTGTGTTTGTTGTGCGTGCATATACATGTATGTCTATTATTTCCTGTTTGTTATGTGTAGACTGGGCTTTGTTATTCTCGGTTTTCGGGCGCCATTTTGTTACAAGAAGCTAAATAAACATTTATGAAAACGCAAACCAAAACAACAACAACAACAATAATATAATGATAACAATACTATTAATAATAATAATAATAATAATGATAATAATAATAATAATGATGATAATAATGAGGCAAATGGCGAAAAGAGAGAAAAAAAAATCAGAACTAAAATGTGTAAACATGAATGATGTTTGACCATTCCAGCCTGTGGTTACAGGCAGATATGATGATGTCTTTGACAGGAAATCGTCTGGCTGTCATACAAACATGGCCGTAGAAGGAGTGAATTGACTGAGTCATCTGTCATTAGAGACGACAAAGAATCAAGTTAGGCTTGTAAACGAATGGCAAACATTGTTCGGATTTATATTTTTGCGTTCAGGTGCAACAGAAGATGTGAGTCATGTGCTTACATACCAATATCCATAACTACCTATCCATCGCTTTGTTAGTGTCTGAGATAGGTGTGTAATTCAATTCAGTGGTTGCATGTTGAGTTCAAAGTTAGCTAAAAAAAACACGGATGCTGATTTGCAAGGAATGCATGTATAGTCTTCTTTAGAATTCAGAACAAAACTTGTTTTCATTATTGGCATCGGCGGTTAGCATTAGATTTCCTGGTAAAAGCAAGGATTTCAAATTATGTACCTTCTTGTTCGAAAAGAAAAGCAAGGAAATTCTCCATAATTCGATAGATTGGTTCAATGAAGTCTGCTTAATCATTCAGCAAATTGTGCTTGTAAAATGAGTTCTTGTAAAATCTTCAATTCCTTTCTTGAATGAATATTAATTTATCTCATTCTGGTAAGATCTATCTATCTATCTATCTATCTATCTATCTATCTATCTATCTATCTATCTATCTATCTAAGTCTGTTCTTCGATCTATCTATCTATCTATCTAAATTTTCTTATATCTGTCTGTTCATATTGATTTATCTGTCCATAGTAATTAAAAAGCAATGCTGAAACGGCATGTATGCATGATTTTGTGCTCTTTATATATTTCCTTCGTATCACTAGACACATAATCATAATAATCATGAACTTGTTGGTGTGTAAGTGCGTGCGCACGCACACATACACACACACACGTACGTGCGCGCACACACACCAACCCACACACATATTAACATAATCTTCAGCGCGAAATTAACTGCTCATCTCAACAAAAAATTTTGAGAAAAAAAATTATTTAAATTTATTTATTCAATCAAAATATTCAGGTTCAGTTTCGATAAAGTGATCCCACTTTTGCTGAAAATCTTCAATTACGTTCTTAAAGAATTCTTAAGCCTTTGAGCCCTGACAACCGCTTTACCGGTGGTAAAGAAAAATGACGTAATGCCCAGCCACCGGTTGAACAGTGGTAGAGAAAAGTGACTTGATGTCCAGCTGCCTGTTGAACGGTGGATAAACACTTGTAACTATTTTTTATATCTACCGGGAAACATTACATAGCAATTATTTGCAAATTCTGACTCAGGAGCTCAGAGTTAAAATTGTTCATGAACGCCGGGATCAAAGGGTTAATTCAAAGAACTGATGAATACATAGAAGTTTCTTTTTTGTAACTTGATTCCTGGTAGAAGATGTTCTTGTCTGGGCGGTCTAAATTCTTGGAAAGTGATAATTCCTGTGAGTTGCGCGAATTTGTTATGAGCAAAATTCCCGGTGTCATATTTAGTCCAATGCTAGGAAGAGTGTCTTCGAAGTTTATCCAGTATGTTGTTTTCCTGTTCAAAATATGTCACATATTGAATACAAGTCTTTTTTAATTGAACATCTATCTATCTATCTATCTATCTATCTATCTATCTATCTATCTATCTATCTATCTATCTTTTTCTTTCTTGTTTACTGTTCATCTATCTATCTATCTATCTATCTATCTATCTATCTATCTTTTTCTTTCTTGTTTACTGTTCATCTATCTATCTATCTATCTATCTATCTATCTATCTATCTATGTTTTTCATCCGTTATATATCCTATATAAACTGCAGCAGCTTTATTTAGTAATCCTCTACTTTAAGTGGATATTGAGCCTTGTATTGGTTGAACAATATTACTAAAAAAATAACCCGCTCAAATCAAATAAATACCCAGATCAAATTAACTCCCGTGGAAAATAGAGATTCCACATGTCTAATTTGTTTCATCTTTCAATTCAAATGTCGGCGATTCATCGATCATGTTTTCTTTGACAATTACTCTTAATTGATTCAAAATGATTCCAATCGATGCATTGAAATATGTCGTGAATTCTTTGACTGAGGTCGGACTCTATACTGCTTTTCTAAACGGAAATCGACGCCAGGTAAATTCGAGATCAATATCTTCAAATTCGCTTACTAATGGACTTATGACAACATGCGGCTTTTTAGATTATTTATAATTTTAGCTTCATGACATCCAAGTCGAAATTCATTAAATAAAGGAGACGAAAGTCAGCTAAATAGCTGCGAAACTCTTCGACACAGAGACCAGGCTCCTTGGTAAGCCGTCTCTCAAAATGCCGCCGAAACGCTTCACACATGTAAATAATGATTCTTAATAGTTATAGAATTTGTTTAAAAAATGGAGTAAAATAAATATTTATGTATAATTAAAAATGAATATCTCATATTATTTATTATTTACATTATTCGGACTGCTATCCTCATTGTTGTGGTAGGATCCACCTAATTTGCATAGTGGAGTACCGACCATATAAATATGGTTGGTACCGGGAAGAGAGGGAGGAATCAAGAGATTCAACCAGAGACTCTGCCCGACTGCGACTCAGTCAACACATTCTCCAGGAACGGTCTTACCAGGAATATACAAAAGACTATATGTAAATATTGTGTACACTTTCTTGTTTCAATACATTTTGTTCTAAGTACATTTTGTGTGCATTATTATTCCATGCATTAGTCAAGTTTCAACACTCATCTTCATTGCCATATTCACAACGTTTCGGCCGTTTAATTGCTGGTGTTTCCAAGTTCATCCTGACCCGGGGTGGTAGAACCTGTTAGGGTCCCAATTATGGGAAAATAGTTGACCCCCAAACTGGGAACAAAGCACTATGAAATTTAGAAATAGGTATTAATATCAGCAATTAATTTTTTGAGTAAAAATTATTACCAGGAATACATTTTTGGAAACAAATAATACCAGCAATAACAAGTAAAACAGACCGAACCAAACCAAACTAGATTTACGATCCCCTTTGTCCAACTGTCGTGATCTGTATACCTTTGCAGTCTACCATCGTAGATATCAAAGAGGTAATTTCATCAAAACAATTACCATGAAAATATTTACAGAAAAGACACAAGTAAACTACGTTACATATCTGTCTATATTTCTGAGATGAGGTATTATGTACATTATTTATATTATTTGTCATCTTTGTTGCCATATTTATTACAACGTTCCAGCTTTCTTCAGGTGGTTGGAATGTCGAACTGAACCCTTTATTTCGCTCACTGGGGTAGACTGTTCTAGTTCCACGTGCCATGTTTAATGGATGTCAGTTATCAGTTATCTCCTGTTAATTTTCTCTCTGAAAGTTATCCACTGCCTTAACCGGGTATTGAACTCACACCCTTTGGGTCCTGCCACTGGATCTAACTAACGCCTTTATCCACTGTGCCATGTGTCCAGGTGAACCTCTCAGAGGGAAATTAACAGGAGAAAACTGATAACTGACATCCATTAAACATGGCATGTGGAACTAGAACAGTCTACCCCAGTGAGCGAAATGAAGTGTTCAGTTCGACATTCTAATAGAATTATTCTTACACTCCAAAAATATATATATATTGGGCTTAGCAAACAAAAATGGCGATAAGACGTAAAAACTCAAATCAATCAATTTTAATTGTGCAACCTGATATTTTAGTTCTGCTGTTCCAGATTTTCTATGAAGACATGCATTCTTGTGGCTTCTGTGAAGTGGCATGACACTTTATAATAAAGATGTACACACTGACAAATGCATAACCTTTTCTATTGCGACCTTTTGAAAACTTATCATACGATCGATGTAGTTGCCATTGTAAAAGAGGAGAGCTATGGAAGAAAGACTTATTCTTCCAATTATTTCGCCCATTATGGGCATTATCATATCCGTGATATAATAACACCGAAATTCATGGAGGCAACGAAATGACTGAAAGGAAAAGGAATGACAAACATGACATATACAAGACTATATATATATATATATATATATATATATATATATATATATATATATATGCCACATGGAGAATAATATATCACATATATCTACACAGCAAAGCAGAGTGTAAGGAGAAATAAAAAAAGAAAGGGTCTTACATATAATATATTGATACACCTGTATCTGGGGAAGCCATGTTTAGGACACAAGATTTAAAGAAGTCCGATTCATCTATGTCCCAGGCGAGGACATATTCCACGAACGGTGAACAGCGAGTCTTGGGTTTTCTCGAATTGAGGACTGCGAGCTGTAGTTTCAGTCTTTATTTGGGAAAGATATATTTCCATAGAGAAAAGACAGCGTGGAATTGTAAACTGCTGGGGGAGCAGATTTAGCCTCTGCCTGGGTCAGAGGGCGGCGGTGGGTCTAAAGAAAGTAACCTTTCCTTTGGCTGCTGTAAAATGAACGGAATTCGTCACTGTATAGACTGACGTCATTAAGTGACCCTTGTGAGTTATCTTCACCAAAGGGAGATAAGCATCTTCTGTATCCTGACACCATCATTACAGTATCGTGTATGATCACAGCAAGACAATATTGTAAAACTGTTCTGCCTTGAAAAAAATATGGTTCTTTAGACTGGACAAACTTTTAAAAACTCTGGTACAAATTTGGTAGACATGAGACATATTTTGTGGTCATTCGATTTTTGTGATTGGTTACGTGTCTTTTTAGCACACCACAATTGTAACATGAATTATTAGTAATTAATGTCACTTCGTAGTTTCTCGGCACGCGGGTATCGAAGACCAAGTTAGGTAACTTAAATGAAAAGTGTCTTTTCATATCTATCTATCTATCTATCTATCTATCTATCTATCTATCTATCTATTTCACTCTATTCATATCTATCTATCTATCTATCTATATATTTCAGTCTCTTAATATCTTAGTCTATTCAAATCTATCTATCTATCTATCTATCTATCTATCTATCTATCTATCTATCTCAGTCTATTCATATCTATCTATCTATTTCAGTCTCTTAATATCTATCTTAGTCTATTCATATCTATCTATCTATCTATCTATCTATCTATCTATCTATCTCAGTCTATTCATATCATCTATCTATCTATCTATCTATCTATCTATCTATCTATCTATCTATCTATCTATCTCAATGTCTTCCTACCAGTTTTGAGTGTGGGAACAGTCTACTTGTACTAAATAAATTTCTTCAGTACTTTTAATGGGTTTTACTTTCAATACTTTTAATGGTAGTTACTTTGATCTGATTAAGTAGATATTTCAATATTCAGTGTATCTCTCTGCCTAACCCGTTCTTTGAGCCATGTCCCTTTAGGACGTAGACGATTCTGATTATTCAAGGTGCCCTGCTTTTCAAGCATGAAAAAGACTGTCGCCACCGTGTGTTGAGCTCTGTGTCTACTTAAACACACACAACACACACACACACACACACACACACACACACACACACACACACACACACACATATATATATATATATGTGCTATGCTTTATGTATGTATTTAATTATGCATGTATGTATGTATGTATCTCTCTACATATCTATCTATATATCTATCTCTTCATACCTGTCCAACTGTGTCTTTTCATACCTATCTATCTATCTATCTATCTATCTATCTATGTCAATCTTTTCAAACCTGTTTTGAGTGTGGGAACTTAAACGGCAACAGTGTACTTGTACTAAATAAATTTCTTCGATACTTTTAATGGTTTTTTTTCACTACAGAGTTACTTTGATCTGATTAAGTAAATATTTGAATATTCAGTGTATCTCTCTGAGCCATGTCCATTTAGGACGTAGACGATTATTCAAGGTTCCCTGCTTTTTCTTGGTTTAAACAATTATTATTATTATTATTATTATTATTATTATTATTCTACTCCTTCTTCGTTGTGACGAGGACGACCATGACCTTCCATAATGTCCTGTCCTTTGTAGGTCTTAGTAAATTTTGTTTTTTCACTATCACTCCTAATTCCTGTTCTGCTAAATATTTAGACAAATTAGTTAAGTTATGTGATTCTTTCCTCTCTTGTCTTGATGACTTTTTAATAACAGGATGAACAGTCTTCTTTGAACAGTCTGATATCAGTTTACCTGGGAAGAAACAACGCAGTTCTTAATAAGTTCTTAATACGAAGATTTGAAATTAATGCATGCAAGATTTTAGAACTCTAGCATCACTTCTTCATATACAGCCTATGAACCTTTCAGTCTCTTCTCGGTAGAAACTGGAGATTTATCTTAGAAAAAGAAAAAAAAATGTTGAATTGCTATGTAATATCAATATTTCCATAGGGTAGAGAATAGTGAAAGATATCCTCACAGATCAAAAGAAGCCTTCCATAATCTAAACAAAACATTAAGAGGCAAGAAAATTTTGTTGGAAACAAAGTAGCGTGATGAGAGGATCTGTAATGTCCTTATCTCTATAAAAGGCAGGATGTGTGTGTGTGCGTGTGTGTGTCCTTTATATCTATCTATAAAAGGCAGGATGTGTGTGTGTGTGTCCTTTATCTCTATCTATAAAAGGCAGGATGTGTGTGTGTGTTTCCTTATCTCTATGCATAAAAGGCAGAATGTGTGTGTGTGTGTGTGTGTAACGAATACACGGCCGCAATTTTCGACGGATTTGAACCAAAATTTACACGCGCATGCTCCAAGTTAGCGGAAAGGCCAAGACCGGCTTTGCATTTCTCAACTTCTATCGATAGTGGAAATAATCGATGTTTTCATGCTTCTACGTCAGTTTTCATGTAGTTTGCGACCATTTTCTGCTGGCCAGAGTGAGAGTCTCTAGCTGGCTGCCACGAATAAGCAGGAAGATTCTATTGGTCAGCGTGAGAGCCAACGGCTGACTGACACGAATGTTAACTAGCATGCTAGCATGCAAAAAAAAAATCGATAGCTGCATTCGTCACAAGTGGAAAAAATTTAAATCTGCATGGCACTTTACTCCAGTTGGCTCATTCGCTTGCTTAAACTCAACGTTGATTCTGATTCCGCAGAACTGGGTTGGGTGTGAAAAAGTATTTGTTGTTAACATTCTTTTTTCATTCGATTTTTCCAGTTACGAATCCTTTTTTTTTTAAAAATCTGATCGTTTTGTGTTCATTTTGTTTAGTTCTTTTTTCGTAACAGATTTAATGTTTAGTATAGAGCTTAGAAAAATTCGCAGTGTGAGATAGGCAAGAAGTAAGGCATGTAGCAACATCAGCACGGCAAAGGGCACTCCATAAAAGGCAAGGAAGAGCAAACATATTTTAAGTCAAGTGATAGCAATTGCTGTATGAGTCGTACGATTTTTGAATCAAGCACGGGCAACGCCGGGCCATGCTGCTAGTCTTTCTATATGTCAGTGAATGTTGCAAGAAAATGACTGCATAAGTGAAGAACAGCCTTCTAAAAACTAGACAAATTATTATGAGAAGAAAATTTCGTTGAAAAAAAAAAACGAAGAGTGTTGTCAGGCTATGTCAAATCATTCTTCCTATATGTCAGTGAATATTGAAAGAAAATGACTGCGTAAATGAAGAACAACTTTCCAAAAAGTAGACAAATTATTAAAAGAAAATGTTGAAAAAATATCATGTCAATCCTGCTATATGTCAGTGAATGCTGGAAAAATATCTGTATAGATGAAAAGAAGCCTTACAAAATCTAAACAAAATTAAGAGACAAGAAAATTTCGTTGCAAACAAAAAAAAGACTGCTGTCGGATTCTCTCATGTTAGTCCTCCTATATATCAGTGAACGATGCAGGAAAATCTCTGCATACAATAAAAGCAGCCTTCCAAAATCTAGTCAAATTATCTAGAACAAAAATATTTCGTTCGAAGCAAAGAAAAACGTTATTAATTGCTCTGTCATATCAATCCTTCTGTAGGTCTGTAAATTCTGGATAATTCATTCACAAATAAATAGGCGGCCTTCGAGAAAGTAATCAATGTATTATGACATAGAAATATTTCATTAGAAACATCGAAACAACGCTGAACTTCTATGTCGCATTATTCTTATGTATAACAATGAATGCTAAACAATTTCCGCACAGATGAATGAGAGACTCGAGGTAAAGAACAGAGACGTCATTCTAGAGACAGATTCTGGGAATACCAGTGACGGAACATTTAAGAAACAAGGAAGTTCTAAAGAGTTTAGGAAGTAGAAAGAGACAGTTGAAATTTCAGGGACACATTGTGAGAAAGAAGAGCTAGGAAAGTTTAATACGCACAGGATGTATGATATAATGGAATATGCATACACCTGTGTTCCCCCTCACTGGAATATGATTGGCTGGTGTCCGTCATAAATACAGACGGACGTGTAGGAGAGACAAGAGCCTTAGTCTGAGATCTAAGTCTATAATGACGCCCATTGGACTACACCATTGATCTACACTTCTTACCTGCAACTACGACGCGTACTAGTTGATTACTGCTACCGTATTCTACTTGGTTATAGTAGCCAAAACCACTTAGCTACTTCGTTCAAATATATCCCTTTCCGGGACATATCAATATGTAATTATCTTGGTTGTGTAGGACTGATCAATTTATTTTTTTATGGCTTATCAACCTTTTTCAGGTCAAACCCAGTTAAAAGGGTATATTTACGTTGAAAGTATACAATGTGAATATATTCTTAATAGATCTTGTGAGTTAAGTTTTCGAAGTTCATGATGGAATCCGTCTGTGCCTTCAGAATCTTCAACGTAGAGCATTGTTTTGAGTACTTGTTCTCTCTTATGGAAATTATTATTTTCTTATAATAGTCAGGGTGAAAACCAAACTTAATTCTTTTTTGAAAACAACTATTTAAAATCCTGGGGCTCAAACATCAGCTTCTAGAACTGCTTTCAAATATGTGATATAATGGAATATGCATACACCTGTGTTCCCCCTCACTGGAATATGATTGGCTGGTATCCGTCATAAATACAGACGGACGCGTAGGTACGATAGAATTTAAGTCTATGACGCCGCCCATTGGACTACACCATCCTATTGGTCTACACCTATTACTTGCGACTACGACGAGTACCAGTCGATTACTGCTACCGTGTACTACTAGGTTAAAGTAGCCAAACCCCCTTAGCTACTTCGATCAAATACATCCCTTTCCGGGACATGTCAATGTATTTGAGGGAAGGATGCGTAGAGAGAAACAGTAAGCAAGTTAATGAGAGTGGGTAAACAGACCGAAGAGAAAGTGCAAGGAATGAATGTAAAGTGTTAAACTATAAAGGGCAGGAAGTCGTGAAGAACCTTGATCACCCATATCCTGAAGAGTTTATAAATGGTGATGATGACACTTTTGCCTCCAGACAACCTTATGTCTGACTTGTATTCCTCCAGTCTAAATTTTAAGTAGACGACTACTTCGACTACGACTAGTTCCTTCCTTATATATCACCCACCAAATGCAAGGGTTGTTATAAATTTTTGTGATATCAACGAATACTCGTTGTCACTTTCGTAATGCTCGTTGTAGAAGAGACTTTGTAATCGCAGATACAACTATAGTAACGCCGTTGAATAATACTGGAGTCAAACGCCTTCGAATATCACCCACACTAGTAGTATTTGCTCGATAATACTCGCTTGAATAGTAATGCATATAGTAATACCAATAGAAATAGTATAGTGAATAGAGTAGAGAATAGAGATTCGTAGAGTAATAGAGGAAAAAACTAGAAATGCAGATCCGAATAGTAATAGAGGATAGAATAGAAATGGAGATCAGTTAGATATACGCTTCCTCTCATATATGCGTTTCCTCTATGGTCACGTGGTTTACTTAATTCAATAATGGGATCGACTGTGTTTGCTCACTGGCGGTCTATGTTCAAACTCAAGTGTCGGCAGCGACATATTATTCCTTATAACAGAAATGTAGTTAAAATCCTTTTCTATTCTAATTATCCTAAAGACTTAGCAATGGAACTGCCAAAATATTGTGTTAACAGCAAATACAATATATACTGCGTAAGTAGTTACTTATGACGTAACGCGAGAGACAAAGATTCGAAATCGCCTTAGAGTAGTGAAAGTTGCCTTCCACAAACGAAGTATTAAGGCTTAACAAGATTTTAATATAAACTAGCCGAACTCAAATATATATTGTTAGGCACTACCCACTGATTG